TCTGGGGATCTCAGACCGGTTAGGTGACCTCCCAGAAATCTTGAATGCGATGCGTGAAGCCCACACCAAACAATGCCTATATAAAGGCACCAACCCCAATGACACAGGGAGGACGTGCGATTAAGTACATTCGAGCTCTCATACTTTCTGATTTTTAGCTCGCAATCTACTACAAGAGTACTAACTTAAGCATCAGAGCGACCTCACCGGGTTAGCCACCCCGGGTCCTCTGACACTGTTTCCTTGCAGGTCTCTTCGAAGAGCTACCCAACTCGGCACCTGAGCATCCTCTTAATTCAATCCAGTCAGTTCGGCATCCAAGCTTTCATCCAGCAGAAAATACTCCAACTCAACCTCTGAGTCATCAGACACCAGGAAGTAGTCAGAACAACAAGGTGCTGCCAAAAAGCACTTCATCACACATGATTATAAAGAATTTGGATTTACATAGGTAGAAGAGTGTAGAACTAAGGAAACATTGATATCCATGAATCAGCTTTTTTAGCCTATAAATTGAGGAGCAAGGTTTAACTGAACGCTTTAGCTATTCAGCGGGCTGTGGAACCAATGATAGTATTCCACGTGAGTATTTAAATACATGGGGCTCACATTCTTTTACAGTGGGCCCATGAATTTTTTACCAGCGTGGAACCTCGTCATTGGTTCCACAGCTCGTTGAACAGTTAAAGCGTTCAACTAATTCGGATTCTAAATTGAGTATCCAATACAATAGGCACACGTATAAATTAAGGAAACATGGTATTCTAGAAAACTTTTTATAAGTTGATCACTAGAATACTATACCTACCAACTCAATTAATCATACATAGAACATTTTATTGAGCAACAAATTCCGTACCACTTATCTCAAGCTTCTCAGCATTGCCCCGGTTTACATTTACTCGTTCCACGATGGATAGTTCTTCGTTGGTAGGAAAGTAAGAGTCATCTTTGTCATCTCCCCATACATAACATTCATTTTCTTTTCTAAGAAGAAATTCGTCTTTGTCAACAACTTCTTCCCTTGTTATTGTAGGAGGATTGGGATGACTGGAGGAGGATTCTCTGATTAAACAAAGTTCAACTAAGCATACATCAGCTACAACTACACACTTAATTTTTCTTATTGTTAATACTCTTAATGAGTTTGTTATCATCAACACACATAGTATAAACAAACATCCCCTTAATTATTGATTTCCAATTTTGATAACCCAATTGCCCAATTTGCTCTAATCTGAATTTGACAACATTAGTGAGTTGGAGGTGAAGAATAAGAGTGCAATTTGGGATGGCCCAAAAAGAACATTACATTGCTTTGAGCTTAGGCCTTTTGTGCTGGGCCCATTCAAGATTTGACAAAAGTCCAACCCAAGCCACCCAAGTTGCACTACTAAGTGAATGAGTCTAACAATCCCAAGCAGCTTGCAAGCTTTTGTTGGTTCCCCAAAATTTTGGATGGTGATCAATGAGGACCAGTTTTAGTACTATTGGCATTTAGTGGAGCAACATGGCCCATGACCATACAAATTGGGTATCAATATTATGTCACATACATGAATCCATTTTTGTCCCAAAACTCCTCATATTCAACATCCTTCTTGAAAATCCAGATTTTATTATCAGCTTTTCATCATTTGCAAAGAGGAAACCTGTACCCATGGAGGGATCATTCAGTTACAGTTCTAGAGGTCATTTGTCTGAAACCAATCTTCGCAAGTTCAGCTTTTGGGCTGTTTTAAGAGACAGAAATGAGTGTGTTAGAACAATTTTCCAAAAATACCATTATGGGTATCCACACCCACAACTTATCTGGCCCTGATTAGTAGGACCTTAGGTCTATAAGTTCTGGATCTGAGCATATCAATAGAGATTAATTAAGACCAAGGTCTAATCTTGGACTTAGGGGTGCAAGTTGGGCAGGTTGGGTTGAGTTTATAGTCAATCCTGTCTCGACCCTCAAATTTGGGTTTAAGGCCCAAGTCCAGACTGAATTCGAGGTCAAGCCTGATTTTTCCAACCCGAACCTAGCCCGTACTGTAATTTGATGCACTTGGATTGGGCTCAGGCCCAGGCTGGTCTCAGATTGGTCAATGAACCCACTCTTATGCAAATATGTATATATACATATATATAAATATGTATAATTGGGTCGGACTCGGGCTACCTAAGAGCTAAGCCAGGGCCTGGCCCAAAAAATTAAAAAACCCAACATTTTGGACCCAGCCCAGCCCGTATAAAATTTCGGGCTTGGCCAATTTGGGGTCGGGTTGGGCCCGCCCAAGCTGCACCCCTATTTTGACCCAGAAAGTTGACCGTGTCGATTGGTTAACTTTAATAAATGGGCGTAAAAGTGAAATGTTTTCAAACAAAAAAATTATTTTTTTAGCGAAATGGCACCCCTAATGTTACCTACTTTAATTATAAATAAAGTCTGTGATGGTCGAACTGGAAACTAACATTCAATTTTGGCTCTTATTACTAAATAGAATTAATAAAATTCCCTAAAATTTTAAATAACAAAGCTCTCATAGCTCAGTTGGTTAGAGCACCCGTTTAGTAAGCGGGAGGTCTTGAGTTCGAATCTCAATGAGAGCAAAATATTATTTTTCCTAAATTTTCACAGTTTTTCGGTTTTTCGCTTCACGTGTCTGCATGAACAGGAATTCCGGATATGTCAGAGGAAACAGTGGTGGCCCCCACCAATTATTCTGGCCGAGTCCTCGATTATCCGGTTCCGGGCCCACCGCTACCTCCCTTATCATCTCTGCAAGAAAAGAAACACCAGAAAGAATCTTGCCTGGTCCAGGTCGTACCACTGACAACGGCCCCAGTCTCACTGTATACACAGCGCATTTTAGGGACAAACTCAGGTGGAACACGGGGAACAGCGTCACCTACGAGGACCACAAAACCAGTAAAAAAAAAAGAGTGACGAGCTGACGACAAATCTCCAGTCAGTCCCTCCTTCTCATTTTCCTATTTTTCCAAGTTTATAATAAAGATAAATTGATCACCCAAATAAATTCAGAGAGAATCTCTGTTGGAGACCGAAATTATCCAATCCAACGATTTCGAAATAAAATCTCAAAGTAAATTACAGATTACCACTCTGACTTTAGCCTCCTTCAACCCTTAACTCTTATTTGTAACAAAATCAAACCTTTAAATTCTAACACTTTGCTACTTCCGTTATCATTCTATTCGTTAAATAAAAAAAAAAATCATATAGTCATATGATCGTTCAACATTTTTAAATTCTCAAATATCTATTTTTTTTTTCTTTTTTCATTCAAAGTGGGTGAAAAAGATAATGTGCTTTACTATGCCTATTTTCAAGATGTGGGATCTCTCTTCCACGAGAACTCTGCCCATGTTATTCATAGCACATTATCTCCGTGAATTGGGAATATTTCTCCCTATATAATATTATGCAAGAGGATGACATATTCTCCATGTGTGGCTGAGATGTTATGTGGGCAAACGTGAACAAGAGATTCGGACTCTATTTTCAAAGGGTGTTTATGGGTTGGTTCGGTTTAGTTGACCAATTGAAACGATTTGGTTAGATTGGAGCATTGGTTACTTGAAACCGGTTGACCATTAATGAAAATTAGTCAATTGAAGTTGTATTGGTGGTTTGGGTCAACTTTTGGTTGAATCAATCAATTTAAAAGATTTAAATTTTAAAAATAGACTTAAATTTAAAAATTATAATGATATTATTAAAAAAATTAAATTTATAATATAAAAATATTTTAAACTAAAAAATATAGAAATTTCTCACTTCCTTTATTGAAAAATTAAATTTAAAATATAAAATACTAATAAATATCTATGATTGAATTAAATTTAAAATATAAAATACTAATAAAAACTTACCAACTCAGGTTTAATTGTGTTGGTTTGATCGATTTCATTAGTTTGATGAAAAAGCTTATTATTTTCACCATTTTAAAATAACATCCTCTTACTGTCTAGAGCTGTTCACGGGCTTTATCTCTACATTAATAGAAAATGTTCAGGCCCGAGCCCGAGCCCGAGCCCGAGCCAACCATTGGGCCTAGGTCTTGAGCCTGAACCCGATTCGACTATAAAGCCCGAAGCTTGGGCCTGAGCCCGAGCCCAACTAAAAATTTAGAAAAAAAAAAGATTTTTCATTTTTAATTAAATTAAAAGTTATTTTATTTATACTAAAAGACCTCAAAACCTACAAAAATAATGAAAATTCTCATTATTACTTGAAAAAAGAGAAGAAAATATATTATATATACTTTTTTATTATATAAAATATATTTTTATTAATATAATACATTATCAAGTCGAGCTCGAGCCAGACCTAACCCAAAAAAAAATTGGGCCCGATATTTTAGGCCTAAACCCGAATCCGCGGGCCTGAAATCTTATCCAAGCCTGACTTCGATCAGGCCAGGCCCGTCGGGCTATCCGGCCCATGAATAGGTCTATTACTCTCTTACCCATTAAATCTTGAAAGGGCGTTTTGGAAAATAAATTTCTTCCGTCAATCCAATTAACGAATAGAGACAAAATGTTAAAATCAATTTGGGGGGTCATTATTCAACATGAAAGTTGAGGGGCTAAGCGTCATTCTGCTAGTAGTATAGGCCGGTAATCTGTAAGTTTTCTCTAAATAATATTTATTTATTTATTTATTTATCCATATCTGGGGAGAAGGACATGGTCAACGGAATCAGATCTCTCGTCTCCAGGTTGGCCCATCATCCAACGGCTGTGACATAATGATTTATCCGACGGTGGAGATTGATTACTTTATTTCTCCACGTGGCTAAACCAGGAGAGAATACCTAGGGCTAAGAGAAGAGGAGGACGGATCCAGCCATCCAGGTGACGAGTGACGACCCGACATAATAAAAATATCTGGGAGAGTGGAAAAATACAAAAAATAAGAATGGTATCCAATCGGGCATTCGACTTTGATTTCTTCTTTTGTCTTGTTTTGCCACGTGGCAACTTTTCTAGCTTGCTGCAGCCCTAGATGGGAGGCTATAACCTCGTCTTCTTCACCCTCGCCAGATTTATGGGCAATAAAAATCCTCAGACCCGGAATCTCGGCGATCGCTTTCTTCTCATTCTGTTCTCTCAATCTCTATCTTTCAGCGCTCATCTCTTCCTATCTCTCTCTCCGTCCGTTGGTTCATAGCTTGAATCGATAATGAAGTTGTTGCTGTTGTTGTTGATGATGATGGTTAACTTTGCTTCTTACAAAACATTTCCAGCAATGGCATCGTACTGACGACCGGACGTCAGATCTCATATCTGGGTATGCCTCTGTTTGCTTGTCTGAAATGATTTGGAGCTCTTACTAAAACCATTTCATTATCGATTCATTAAATGTTCTCTGTTTTACTTTTTTGGCTTTAGTTTTCTTTTTATTTCTTTGTTGGGTTTGACTTTTTGAGGATGAATGCGATATGTCATCTGGTTTTCAGAGTTTGTGTTCTACTATTCTGTGTTTCCAGCCTTATTGTTTCGGGCATTGGATCATAATCTGCAAGATGACGTTGGACCCGGTTTTTGTTATTAATGGTTTTATTTGTTTTAATTCTAATTTTAGATTTTTGGGCAAGTATGCAGAAGTTTGACAAGATCATCCTTAGAACTTAATATGTCAAAAAAAAAAAAAAACTTGCATATTTAGATCCTGGCATAATCCAGGTTTAAACGAAAGGGATCATTTAGTTACTCTAAATTATATGATTTAGGAAGGAATATCAAGGCGCTAAGAAGTTTAAAATCTCCACTGGGTTTCTCCCTGATTGTGATCCCAGAATGATCGCTACGGGTTACTTTGCAAAAGAATGCAGCTGCAAGAGTTGCAGCCATGCACGATAAATCAGGGAACTGTGCTAAAATTTGAAGTTTATCTATCAAAAAAAGATAAATCAGGGAACTGTGGCTAGAGAAAAAAGCCTTTTAAGGAAGCGCAAGGAGATTGCAGCAAGATGCTAATGGCTGCAATCACCGGCAATAGGTATCATGCTGGCTTGGGGACTGCAAATAATTAAATATTAGATATGTTTGTTAATGTACTAACTGTGTGTTTTAAGCTGTTGGCAGCAAGCACTGAAGTAAGCAATTGCAAGTCACCATAATCATGAGCCCCCACCGGAAAATGTACCCAATGGATGTGCTAAGAAGATAAAATTCATTGTCAATTGCAAAGTTGCAAGGATTCTTCTATTCATAACCGAAGTGCAGGAAAAAAAAGTAAGTGATGATGGAGGTGGACAAGATGCCAATGTTATCAAGGAAAGAACATGTTCTCCAACATAAGGTTATGGGGCCTGGATAGCTTGGGTCTTCTCCGTGTGTTTTTTGTAAAGTGGGCTCATAAATGGTACAAAAAGAATATTACTTATAAGAAGAGAAGAGGAAGAAAAATTAAAGAAACCAGAGACAATGGAGGCTCTTCATTGTCCTTTGAAGATAGAGAGACCTTTTTTCCCCTCATTTTCCTCAGGGGTTAGAGAAACTACTTGTAAGGATTTTACTTGGGAGTTGAAGAAGTTTCTGCAAGTGCTACCAGGTAAAGGGCTGCAAGGGGTCCTTGGAGATCATTGCATATTCATAACAAAACAAGGATGTTTCTTTTCTTCTTCGCAACATTGCTTATTTTTTAATGGATACCAAGAAACAAACATCATTGCTGATGAGTAGGCTAGATTGGGTTGCAAGATTAAGGATGCATAGCAAGCCATCCTCACCTGTGTATTGTTGAAATAACTGAGCTTTGTTAGGACTTCATAGCAGGCTCTCTTTATATGCAAACCTTGTTGTAACATTGCCATCTGGAAATTGAAAGGGGAAGATCAACAGAAAGCATGGGAGTTAATTTAATGAGGTATGGACTGTAGAGCTTCAGTGCTGAGAATGATGATGATATGGGAAGCCTTTTAATTGGTCTTTCTGTCCTTTTTTTCTTTTGGGTTGTGGTGGGGAGAATTTCCTTGTATAGTGCAAAATTAGGGTGAAATTACAGCCTAAAATCTATTGATGCATTTTGATAATAAATTAGTGCAATTTAGATAATTGATACTGCACTGTTTTTCTTTTTCTTTTTTTTTAAAAAAAATTGTAGCTACATTGCATGAACTTCTCATTTTAATCATTACATATTGAAAATGGCAATTATTTGGACAACCATGGATTTGGACTAAATGCTTATATTATTCTCTGGTGCCAAATAATGTAAAGGCTTGGATGAGAATTCAGTACCAAGTTTTCTTCTCTTCATTTTTTTTTTAAGTTTTGAAATTCTCCTGTATTTTATCGCATTGATTAGATATGTCCAAACATAAGGTCTGCAGGTATCCATATTCCATAATAACCATGATTTGTGTTGGAGGTTCCAGGAGATATAATGGCTGTGAGTTTATCCACTGGTGGTCCAAACAACCTTAATGCCAAGCATGAAAATTGCTAAGGATGCATGCATGTCCAATTCTAGAATTCATCTTCTAAGTATTTCCAAGGAAAGCATGGACCAAATCCGGGCTATAATGGTGCGGCATGAAGCATTATTCAAAGAACAGGTTTGGAGTCAATTCCCTTTACATGCACACTGCATGCTTGCTTATAGAAAGAGCTAGAATATTCTATGTTTTTTATTCCTTCTTCTTCCTTTTGTTTTATCTTTCTTTACATTTTTTTGGTTGTGTGAGTGGTAAACAAGTTTGGATTTTGTCCAATTAAAAGCTGGTGCTGAGTTATTAGGCTCTCATATTGGAGAGAAAATAGTTTAGTCATGCTATTATATTTAGCTTTAAAAGGCTGCAGCAATCCATTTTAAATGTTTTGGTTAATAAATGATTTCAAAGTTTTCTCTTATGATGGTTATCCATTTATAAAATGCAAGAACAAGCAGAGAGAATGAGATGTGTACATGCATATCCCCTGTATGGCTCTAAAGGTCATATTTATCCCATAAACATACCTTATAAATAGTATCAGCTAGTAGCGAAGGCAAGACACTATAGGGGCAACTGCACTACAGAATGCAATACCTTGAACATTGACCATCTCAAAGATTAGATTACTCCTACTGACCATCTTTTGTTTGGCTTGTGGAAATACTTGAGCTCTGCATTCTCTGCATGCCTTGAGATTCATACTGGTAGCTCAATAGGCTGATCTGAAGGTCACACAAATTGTGGCTGAGTAACTTATCATCCAAAAATGTAGAGGTAGCTTACTTGAAAAATGGATACACACATCTCAAGTACACCCCATCAAGAATTCACATGGTTGTCGGCCTTAGGAAAGATTACCTTGGACAAACTTAAGGACGGCAATTTAAGTTGCCAGATGTCATGTGAAAGACAGAGGTGCAGGCACCTTTTCGTCAATTGACATGTGGTGAAAGATATTGGAACTTTTCCCTATTCATTCTCAATATGAACTGGAGCTTCTGGTATCCCCTCTTGGTTAATACGGAAACAACCAGAAGTTGCTTTGGGAGCATTTCTGGTTAATAGTCCTAATGAGTCATGCTAGGCATTGAAAGTTGGAACAACCCACCTATTCATCAGAAGTTGCTTTGTAGCAATAATGGATCACCTAATGAATTTATTGTGCTGAGACTTGAGAGAACAGTCTATAAGAGACTTTATAATTTAGCTTTTTTTTTACTAACAAAAACTAGAGAGGAATTACTGTCCCTGCTAAGAGTAGCTAGAATTTTGGGGATAATAGATTAGAATATAGAAATTGGAGGGAATTGTCAGGCTCAGGTTGTAATTGGGTTGGATGAAGGAGGATAACTCTGTCCCTTGTCTGTATCTTCACTTCTATTAGGAATATGTGGTCTTTGGCATCCGGCATGAATATCTTGTTTAGATGGATACAAAAGTAACTCCATCTAGCAAATTCACTAGCCAGAGAAAGAATGCTACAACATTTGCCTTTCTTCGTGGGAGTGGCAGGCTGGTTTCTGCCTAGCTGATTTGTATTTCTTGTATATACTCTTATTGTAAAGTCTCTTTGACCTATGTTGATAAAAAAAAAAAAACTATAGAGTTGCGGTGGGAATGGAAGCAGGGAAAGATCTAGGAAAGAGAAATCAAGATTTTTCATATTCTTCAACCAATGGCAATATCATAACGTTTTGGGTCATAGGAAAAGGGTTATTCATTTATTTTCTAGTTTGTTAGTTTCTTAGGATAAGGGTTACTCGTTTTAAGTTTCAATTTATAAATGATATCAAAGAGCTATTAAATTTTGAAAAGTTGAAGATGCAATTATGTCATTTTTCTTTCTTTCTTTCTTTCTGTTTGCATGATTTTGGTGTCAGTAGATAGGTAATTGAGTAATCTAACCAACAAGACCAAGATCTTATAAAATCTGACATGTTTTGATTTGTGGTCTTTTTACTGGAGGTGTCAACATGATGGGATTTGATTCTTTCCATTTCTTTCGGTCATTGTTGGAATTGTTTTTTAGTTGGTTTAGTTGCAGTAGAATTACTAAAGTGTTATTAGAATTATTTTAGGTGTTAAGAGCACTTATATTAGTTACCCCATGGGTTACCTACTAGGTTGCCTTGCGATTAGCCTATAAATAGAGTCATCATATTGGAATTGAAGAGATGAATGAATGGAATAGGAGCTTATTTTGAGATTACCTGTGGGCAATAGTCTGATCTTCTTTCTCTCTACTCTCTCATTTTCTTCTGGAGGTACATTATTTCTTTTCTATTCTCTATTCAGGTCTGAATATCTTCCTCTTACAATTCAGATATTTAATTTCCTTCTTCCCACCATGTTCACCCCAATAGGATTTTTCTATTTCCCATCCTATGTATAGGATATTCAAACATTTTTAATACTTAAAGTAGATTTTCTGAAACCATTCATATTCAAACTCTACTTAAGAAGTGTGTGAACAAACTTTAAAAGAAAAAAAAAATCACCAAACAAATTTAAACTCCTTTGATAAAATTCCTATTTTCTGCTTTGGCACATGATAGTGGGCTCATTGGATAGGTAAATTGTTATGACAGGTATTGCATTATTCTAATCATTTCAAGAAAATGCCTACATGTATAGCCCCTGTACTTTGAGAGTATATACAGAGAAACAATTTCTACATCAATGAAAAATAGCTATCTCCCTTCTCAAAAATTTACACAAACCAAGTTTCATACTCAAATAGGTCTGGTCGTCCACATCTCTAAAAGCTTTCAGCTTTGTGAACAGATAGTAGAGAATAAGGCCTGAAGGATTGCTATAGCTCTTCTGTCCACCTTCTCTCTAGTAATTGTTTTTTCTCTAAAATATCCTTAAATTCCTTTCTGACCAGGTGAACCAGGAAACTGATAATGAATGGTTCTCCCAAGGTTCTCCTTCTCTTGTTTAAGCCTGATGACTTCCCTGGTGGTCTTGGTGCACACTAATTGAAACTTAAAATATTGCAGAAATGTGTCAATAAGATTGAAGAGAATAGACAATGCACAAAAAAGTTATCTGAAGATTCCCAATTATGATTGCACTTGCAGAAAACACATGCCGTAGAGGTAATGCTCAAACCACGTGAGACAATCTTGTCCCTTGTTATACATTTATTTGGCATGGCTAAGCACACCATAAAAGGATCCTTCAATGGTACCAGGGGCACTGAAATCTCCTTGGTGGGGAAAGGTTTCCGGTACTGAATTGGTTAGATGCCCATAGAATGATCTGACCAAGAATAACCCAGAGTTATCCCACATCTGAACTCTAGTCCTCTCTTTCCAGGTGTAGAGGTCAGACACTGATTTTCTGAAGATCTACCATGTCCTCCACTTCCCTATAATTCCAGTTTATCCCAAAGATGTAAACCAGGCCATTGGTCCAGCCCTTCATATTGATCAGCTATATGCATCACTTTTCTTGCTATCATTAAAAAGTGGTGGAAAATTCCATTGATCAGCTATTAATAATAGCTTCTTTCCAAAGCCTTTTCCTTTTAGAACACCAGTTATGTTGCATGGAGACCATGCCATTGATCCACCTCTTCCTTTTAGAGAAGATCTGGGATCAGATCTGTATGTATTTGGAGGAGTACAAGAAAAAAGAGGAAGTGATAGGAAAATATGAGGCTCAAGAAGTTTTAGTAAAAACAGGGGTTCAAAGCAGCAAAAAAGTTGGGGATGAATCAATCTTGGGAAAGATGCAGAGGGAGGAATTAGAGAGGATTTGGGGACAGATTTGTGCTTTCCTTGAGGAGTATAGGCAAAAAGAGGAATCTTTGGAGGAAAATCAAGGAATTGCGGAAGGGCGGAACATAACAAAAGCAGTCTTAAGTAGATCTGGAACAATAAACAACCGAAGGAAGAATAAAAGATCAGAGGTGGAAAGGTTGATCTCAGATATAGAAGGAGATTTAGAATTTAGCGGAAGAGGGGAGAAAAGGAAACCCTCCAAGTAGGGCTTGACTTCAGAAGGGGAAGTCAATTCTCTTATCTCCATGAAAATCATCAGTTGGAATGTGAGGGGCGTGGGGAGTGCTAGGAAAAGAAGGCTAATTAAGGACCTCCTTAGAAGAGAAATGCCGGATATAGTGATTCTACAGGAGACCAAATTAGCTGATATTGATAGAAGATGGGCAAGAAGCATATGGAAATCTAGAGGAATAAGTTGGGTTTCAGCACCTTTTTGGGGGGCTTTGGGAGGCATTGTCACTTTTTGGAGAGAGGATACGGTGGAGGTTTTGGAGGAGCTAATAGGTAATTTTTCAGTGTCGTTAAAATTCAAGATGGTAGAGGATGGATTTACTTGGGCACTAACTAATGTGTATGGACCATGCAACTATAGAGAAAGGAATGATTTTTGGGAAGAACTTTATGGGATTCAAGGGATTTGGGATGGCTCGTGGTTCTTGGGGGGGGGATTTCAATGTAATTCGTTTTACGAATGAATCAAATAACCCCCAACAGGTCATTACAACCAGCATACGGAGATTCAATGATTTCATTAATAGTTGTGAGCTAAAGGAACTCCCATTGTTGCAAGCCCTCTATACTTGGTCCAACTTCCAAGAGACACCAACCTGCTCCAAGTTAGATAGGTTCCTTTTCAATGAAAGCTGGGAAAACAAGTGGGAGGACTTGATAACAAGAGCTCTACCTAGAGTCACATCTAACCATTGCCCCATTGGCCTAGGACAGAAGCTGCTTAGGCAAAGACCCTGACCCTTTAGGTTTGAAAACATGTGGTTAATTTACCCGGATTTCGTAAAGAAGGTTGAGGAATGGCGGAGAGAAGACCTAAGGGGGGTGAAGTGGAAAGGAGTAAGATTTCTTAAAAAACTAAGAAGTTTGAGAGCACATGTGAAGGATTGGAATAGGGAGCATTTTGGAAGAATAGAAGAATTGAAATCCTCTTTGATGACCCAAATAGAGGAATTAGATACGAAGGAATCCCAAAGAGTCATAAACTCTCAAGATAGAGATTGGAGATGGAAACTAAAAAGAGAGTTAGATGAAGTCATTTTGAGAGAAGAAATTTCTTGGAGAAAGAAGTCTAGATGCAGGTGGCTTAAGGAAGGAGATGGGAACACTAAATTTTTTCATGAACTGGAAGTGGATGGACTAGTCCTTGATTCCCAAGAGAGGATAGCCAATTGTTTTGTTGACCATTTCAAATCCATATTAAGGAAGCCCCTAGGTCCTAGTGTGGAGTTGGAAGGTGTGACCTGGCAGAGGCTTCCAGAAGAGAGTAGAAGCTAGCTAGAAAGGAATTTTGAGGAGGAAGAAATAAGAAAAGTTGTCTTCTCCATGAACAGATCTAAAGCACCAGGGTCGGACGGTTTCACAATGGCTTTCTTTCAAGATTGTTGGGACATAATCAAGGAAGACCTGATTGAGGTCTTCAAGGAATTCGAGGATAATTTAGTGATTAGTCGTGGAGTTAATGCTACTTATTTAGCCTTAATTCCCAAGAAGAAAGAGGCCAAGCATCCAAAGGACTTTTGACCTATTAGTTTGGTGACTAGTGTATACAAGATTGTGGCTAAGGTCTTATCTTTGAGGATTAAAAAGGTGCTTCCTTGTCTTATCAGCTAAGCCCAAGGAGCTTTTGTTCAGGGGAGACAAATAGTAGATCAGATCCTAATATCAAATGAATGTGTGAAGGAGATGAGGAGATCGGGTCGTAAAGGTTATGTTTGTAAACTAGATCTTGAAAAGGCTTATGACCTAGTGGATTGGAGATTCTTATTACTCGTGCTAAGGAAGTGTGGGTTTGGGGATAGATGGTGCAAATGGATAAAGGGTTGCCTTTCCTCTTGCCATTACTCCATCCTAGTCAATGGGGTAGTTAATGGTTTCTTCCCAGCTAGCAGGGGTCTGAGACAAGGTGACCCCATGTCACCTTTCCTATTCACTTTGGTTGTTGATGCTTTTAGTAGACTTCTCTCGGAAGCGGATAGGGCCGGATCCTTAAGAGGGTGGAGAATAGGTAGAGATAGAGTTTCAGTAATCCATCTTCAATTTGCAAACGACATAATAATCTTTTGTGAAGGTTGTGATCTGATGGAGGTAAGAAATTTGAAGGATTTGATAATTCACTTTAAAAGGGCCTCAAATTTGAAGATAAATTTTGAGAAAAGTTGTGTTGTGGGAATAAATTTGAGTAGAGAGGAGATGGAGTTTATAGCAGCCTCGTTAGATTGCACATGGTCT